ACAAGGTAGATCTTCTATACCATAGAGTTATTTTTATTATTACTATTTTTTAAATATTTTATTTATTTGAGAGAGAGAGAATGAGAGGGAGCATACGTGGAGAAAGGTCAGCGGGAGAAGCAGACTCCCTGCTCAGTAGGGAGCCTGCTTCTCCCTCTCCCTCTGCCTGCCGCTCCTGCCGCTTGTGCTCTCATACAAATAAATAAATAGAATCTTTAAAATTTGAAAACAAATTCACATCAGCTCATGGCTGTCTCAGTTTCCCCAGTGAACAACCAAATGCCCAGTTCCTATGAGCTCGAGTCATCACAACGTTGTTAAATTAATGTTTCTCTATAGTCACCCAGAGAGGCAACAACTCAACAGTAAGAGTGACTGCATGAAGCCAGGAGTGGAGGGCCCAGGATGAAATTGAAGACTGGGCAGGGCTCTTGCTCCCCTGCCCGGGGCCAAGGTCACCCCACTCTCCTGACTCAGGGTCTCTGCGGCAAGAAAGCCACGCCTGGATTCCAACGTGTGACCTGACCCCTGGGACAGAAGCGCCTGGCCTCCAGTGGGGGAGACAGTATAACAGAGCACCTAGAGGTCAGATTCCAGTACCAGGAAACCATGAATGCATTCCGGCTGCCACGACCTCCTAGCTATGGCTTCAGGCAAGGGAGGGAGTCGCTCCGTTCCTCAGTTTCTCCACCTGTTAAGTGGGAGATGTAAGAGTAGCTACTTCCTAAGGATGCTGTAGAGACAGCATAAGATCAGAAAAGGGCCTTGCGGGGGCGCCTGGCTGGCTCTGTTGGTGGAGCAGGCGACGCTCGATCTCGGAGCTCGTTCTGGAGGGGAAATCTAGCCGGTGTGCCTCCATCTGCCCACAGAGATTTCTCGCTTAGCCCACGGTCCCAGGATCGAGTGTGACAAGTAAGAATGTCAAGCGTGGAGGGAACTCATGAAGAGTCAAATGGAGAGACACATTTCCGTGTCTTTTGTAGGTTTTTATAATAGAAAAAGCCAAAGGAAGACATTGAAGGGGACCTTAGCTAGGGGGGTATCTGCACAAGAAAATAGAAAGGATGAGAGAAACATTCCCAGTCCCAGGAGGGCGCAGGCACTGACCTGACCTGCAACGGCGGTGAGGGGGCGGGGAGAGAAAGAGACCGCCCTGCTGGAGCACCGTGGGAGCTCGGATGTGACCATGCCCACACTCTACAGCCTGGTATTCATCGATCATGGGCAGTAAACGAGTTGCCGAAGAAGGAGATTCCTTCTGAGCATCTAAAATGTGTGAGACCCGGGTGCTGGAGGCCATATTGTCTCCCTTTCTTCAAAGTCGTGTAGAGCCCCTCGACCAGAGTGTGGAAGGAAGAGGACAAGCCCATCGCGGGACAAAGGTCTCACGTACCAGAGCCAGGGTGTAGGGGGAGGAGGGGGACACTTTGCTCATCCCATGACCTGGCCCCATGGGAAGCTTCAGTGTATGAGACCAAGTCAGGATTGGGACGCCAAGCCACCGTTCAAAGACTACAAACACCAAAAAGCCATCTGGACACATGGAGCAGCTTTTCATTTATTGGAGCAGGAAGTCGGTGTCCAAAGGTTTCATGCTTCATGACAGCCTTCCCGGGGCCTTGAAGCCCATGGTAGACCCACTGCCCATCACCACCACGCTACAGTAGTTATGGTCTCCAGAGAAAGGCCACCAGAGCAACGGAAGGAGCTCTCCGGGGCTGGTGGCTTCCTTGCGCAGAACCATTTATAACAATGGCTGTGGCCAAAAGGAAGACATTATAAGCACATGCCTGTCCCATGGGAGCCAACAGGCAGCCATCCGAGCCTCTCGCCAGGCCACAGGAAGGCACTGTATCCAGTCCCGCTCTAGCCAGCCCTCCCTTGACCACCTGTTCCTGTCAGGCTGCCCGTAGGGAACGAGACGCCATTACTACCCTAAGGACATAAAGGCATGTTGCTCAAGGTTGCCAAGCTCTCTTTTCTTCAAAGTTCTCTGGCAGCCAAAGTCTGACATACAAACTACACATTTGAGAAATGACCACTTTTAATTTTAACAAGGTTACCTGTTCAACATAGTGTGTCTGCCTCACGCCAGGCATCATGTGTTGGGTGAGGGGGTTTGGACCCTGCAGTGGGTCCAGAACACACACAAAGATGCTTGTTCAGAGGCCATGTGCAGTTCAGAGGGGCTGCCATGTGCAGCTTGTCCCCGGAACGATCTACAAACCAATCTGTCAGCCGTACGAGGCCTCTTCACGTGTCTCAGCCAAGGGACAGCACCTGGCAGAGCCTTGCATGCTGTCCTATGTGTCTGAGCCCACACGGTGCCTGGCTCTTCCATATTTCCAGAAGGTTAGCATCTTGAGGGAACGGGCTATTGCGAATCTCTTATCGCCTCGGTGAGGAGAGAGGGTCCGGCTCACAGTATACACACCAGTGTTTGCCGAACGAATGAATGTTCCACAGGCCTGAAAGACAGCCCCAACAGAACGAATCTCCAGTCATCCGAGGGGACTATGTCAAAACAACCACCCCGCTGGACTGCACCTGTGGTGACGGGTGGACTTAGAATTAGTTTTTAAAAATTTTTTGGTAGGAAAAAAAGAAGATTTCTTTTTTGATCATGAAAACACACCATCTTTCATTCAGTTTCTTGATTTTTTTTTTCCATTTATGAAGTTCTCGTCAACCATAATTTGGTATGATAACCCTCTTTTATCTTTATTTCAAGAAGTACTCACACGGCGTATTTTCTGGAAATGTCCGGTGAGTCATGGTTCTTCATGGGTTTCCCCGTGTTGGCTCTTCCAATGTTTTTATCTTAGGATAAATCTGCTACCAAAACCTAGGCTCGTCTGAATGTAAAATGGCTCTGTTTATGCAATCACTCAAAAACCAAGATAATCTGCCATAAAAAGTACTTAAAATCTTCCATGGCAGCCCGTCTAATCCCAGGTTGGAGCTCTGTTAGGTCTGGGACAGTAGGGACAGTCATGTCCTAAAGGAAGCCCTTGGAAGCAGGCATGACCATTGTGAGTTGGGGGCTACCCAGGGTTTGTCGTTCTCAGCGTATTTGTTCTCTAGCATTTTGGGGTTTTTTTTTGTTCTGTTTTGTTTTGTTTTTCCCAACTAACGTGCGTTGGTCAAAAACACACGACCTCTCAACTCATAAAAAATACCCATTCTGATGTGTCTTAAATAACTCCAGGCTGAGTGTAGACCTAGGAAGCACGATCAGGGCTCAGCCCCTTCCCCCTCCACCCCTCCCCACATCCTCAGCTCCCCCGCGGCCCCCGTGACACGTGGTCAGAGAAGCGCAGTATTGGAAGGGCACTGAATGGAAATGCCAACCCCAGTCGTGTTCTTTCCACCTCGTGGCACCGTGTTATTCAGGTGTGTCCCATGCTTGTTGCTTATTCTCCTGAGTTCCTTAAAAACCACCCAGGGTCTCCTGGAAATGGTAGCCGAGCAATGGCTCTGTCCATACACTGGCCTTGGGGACGTCACCCTCCCCTCGACTGTAAGTGGTGTTTGTTGCAGGAGGGCCCATGTCACTGTGCTGGTCCCAGACAGACAGACGCTTACTTACCCCCAGCTGCCAGTACATAGGACGGGTTAGCAAAGCCTGTGCGTTGCTGCCCCTTTTGTGCTCCCTCTACTGCTTGGACAGGGAGGAGAAGGAGGATGTGGCAGAGTCCAGGGCATCTGTGCCCCCTTTGGAAGCCACTCTTGGGACTGAAACCTCAGCGATGCCTCCTTGAGACCAAGTGTCAAAACCCAGTTCTCTGTGTCCCCCTCGAATAGTCCCCCTTGGAAATTCCACTGGACTGATTGGGACAAACCTGGGAAATAAGCTTGGCCAGAGAAGAGAAAAAAACCAGGCACCCAGGGACCCCTGGGTGGCTCAGTCAGTTAAGCATCTGCCTTTGGCTCAGGTCATGATCCTGGGGTCCTGGGATCGAGCCCTGAGTTGGGCTCCTTGCTCTTCTGGAAGTCTTCTTCTCCCTTTGTCTGCTGCTCACCCTGCTTGTGCTCACACACTCTCTCTCCCTCTCTTTCTCTGTCAAATAAATAAATAAAACCTTAAAAAAAATAAGCACCCAAAGAGAAGTGGGGTTGGGGTAGGGTAACTGGGGGATGGGCATTAAGAAGGACACTTGTGGTGAGCACTGAGCATTGTAGGCAAGTGATGAGTGGACTCTGGCCCTGAAACTAATAATACACTACATGTTAACTAACTTGAATAATTTTTTATTTTTTTAAAGAATTTATTTACATGAGAGGGGGAAGCAGAGGGAGAGGGAGAGAGAGAATCCCAAATGGACTGCCCCACCAAGCAGGGAGCCCCCTGCGGGCTTTGATCTCACCACCCTGAGATCGTGACCTGAGCTGAAATCAAAAGTCAGATACTTAACTGACTGAGTCACCCAGGTGCCCCTAGTTAGCTCGAATTTATAAAAAGTGAAAAGAAAAAGCAAAAACAAAAACAAAACATAACAAAACACAACCTGCAATCCAGATGGCTTTAAAGTGTTTCAGAGATTTTATTACCTTATCCTGATCTGTTCTTCACACTCTAATGTGGCTACAGGACCTCTCATGGGGCACTTTTAAAATACAGAAATGACAAAGAAAATGACCGGTAATGAGTATTTTACATAGTCATCAGAAAGCACTTTTTCTGGTATATAAAACATTTTCACAGGTGAGATAGAAGACACAAAGATAGAAAACACAAAGCAAAAGTGAGCTGCATTACTTTTTTTTTTCCCCCAGCCTCGTCTCAGAATTGGAAGCCTTTAGACAGGTCAGCACTGTACAATAAGAAAAACAGAAGCAGCAGGGAGGCAGATATCCTTCCAGCAAGCTCAGAAAAAAGAGGCTCAATAAAACCAACCCATTTTATAGGGAGGAGACAAAGCAGACCATCCCAAAAGCCACTCGGCAGAGTGAGCCCAAGACAGAGCCAGAGCTGGTTCTGCCAACTTGGGCTCTCGGGGTCTCTCCGCAGGCTGACCCACCCCTGTGACACGAGTGGACAAGCAGAGTCCTTGGGCAGGTCAACCCGGCAGGCAGGTGTGGAGTTACAGAAATCCCCCCCAATGTCAGCCGCATTAATGCTCCGTCAGGTGACAAAAAGCCAGGGGGGTCCGCGGGACCGCGTGTTAGTCCTCCTTTGAAAATTGCAGCCATTGTAGCCAAGAGCCAAGCAACAGTCTCAGGGGACAGCCAGTCAGTTTGGAAAACTCTGGCTTGGAAATTCTAACTAAAGCAATCGTCCAAATTCATCCCTTTCCGGGTTTTTCTTTATCCCCACTTCCTTTTTCTTCTTCTTCATTGGTTTCCCTCCAGTTGCATCTGGCGCAGGTGTACCCGTATTTCTCGTAATTTCCAAAAAGGGCCTTCCATGTCGGAGCGGAGACCCCTCAGTAGGAGAGAGCTCCGGAGGTCGTCTCCAGCAGCATGGATGACAGCTTCACGCTTCCCTCTCTCCTTGTGAACGAGACCCACTGTGCCTGGCTGATGCAACCCAAGTTCTTCAGGGTCTTTATGAGATCCCGGCGGAATCTCTCACCCACAAAGACGTAGAGGACGGGGTTCAGGCAACTGTGGAAGAAGGCGATGGTTTGAGTGACCTGGAAGCAGATGTCAATGTTGATGGAAATGGCACAGTCAGAAATGAACATGGTGTAGGCATCGATGGTCCGCACCAACAGAATGCAGTTGTAGGGGAACTGAGACAGGACAAAGACCGTAAGGACCGTGATGGTCACCTTCAGGGCCTTGTGCTTGGAGGACTTCCTGGCTTGTAACAGAGTGTGAATGATGATGGTGTAACAGCACGCCATGACCACGAAAGGGAGGAAGAAGCCCAGGAGGACCTTCAGGGTCAAGACCGTGGACTTCACTCTGGTGCTCTGGTCACTGGGGTAAACCATGGTGCAGATGGTAATGTCCGATTGCCTCTTGAGTCGACTGTACAGGATTTCTGGGATGCAGAGCGTGGCCGCCACTATCCAGACGGTGAGGCAGATCATTTTGCTATACAGGAGCCTTTTCTGCCTCCAGGTCTGGGCTTTCATGGCCTGAGCGATGGCGATGTACCGGTCCACGCTGATGCACATGATCAACAGCACACAGCTGTAGAAGTTCATCTTGTACAAGCTGTTGACCACATTGCACAGGAAGGGCTGGAACCGCCACTGGTCGGCGGCGGCAATGGCCCAGAAGGGAAGGGTGATGAGAAAGAGAAGGTCAGCGATTGCCAGATTCAAGAGGAACATGTCGGTCATGGTCTTGACCCGTGTGCAGTACCAGTAGACGAGGATGACCAGACTGTTGCCCACAGCACCCACGATGAACACAAGCCAGTACAAGGGGGGGAGGAAGTAGCTTGCAAACCGCCTGACGTGGCTTTTCTCACAGAAAAGGTTCTCAAGGTCATCATCCGTGGTAGACGTGGAGTGGTAGTTGTAGTCGTCAGATATGTTAGAGAAGAAGGTCTGCAAGGAGATATCGGATACCGTTTGGTTAAGGACAAGCCTTTGGAAGATGGTGGGATGACAGAGGCATGGACCATGTGGTCCTCCCCATCCCAAAAGTCTATGATGAGACAGAGACACGTGTGTGTGGAAAGTAGGCATTTCTGATAGCGTCTGTCTGGATCACCCGACAGATTTATATATTCAATGAATGTTATCGTGCGCTGAGGCTATGTCAGGAGCTGTGTGCATGCTAACACCGCAGCCACGGCTGAGTCAGACATGGCTCCCACTTGTGGAACCCACATCCTAGCGAGGGCACACACAAGCAAACCAACAGTGACAGGACATGTGGCAAGTGCTCAGACCCCTTTGGGACCCATGATGGGCACAAAACTTTTGTCAAACCCTGAAAGATTCTGATTTCTCCTCTCCATTCCCTACTTCCAAGGGGTCCTCAGAGGCTCCTAAACTTTTCCAAGACCAGATTCCTCTGAGTCTTCTGAAAGCTATGTAGCCTCTGCTCATGAAGCACCAACACACACACACACACACACACTCACACGCAAACTCACATCCATACCCTCTCCCATGTGCACACATACATAAGCACTGGTACAAGCAATGTCATTTTCAGGATCCTTTGCCCAAAATTTGGTAAGAATTTCAAGACAGCAGAGCATGAAGTCAAGCAAGTGGCCCTTCTAAGTATGGGCCCTGTACAGTTGTGCAGGTTGAGCACTCACATATCATTCTTTGGTCTCTCTAAAGACTCTGTCCTGTTAGGCAAGACGCCTAACCAATGGGCTCACCAAGGGTTTTGTTTTTTTTTTTAAACCAAATTATGGATCATCCCTCACCCTTGTTTGTCTCAATTTCGGAACAGACACACAGAAGCAAGCACATCTAGTTAAAGATCATAAACACCCTTACCTGTTAATAAAATCGCAAATAGCATTTTCCTCTCACTTTGCCACATACCCCCAAGCTCTTCTGGTTTTGCGTGTTTGCAGAGCCCTCTGTGCTGGCGTCAACGGCCCCTCCAGGGCACAGCTCAGCAGAGATCTCACCCCTGGAAACCACGCAGAGAAATCGCTCCCCGCAGCAGTTTCCTTCCCACAAACCTCCCCCCGCCCCCCACAAACAGGCAAGACGACAGTGTGTTTCAAGGAGCCCAAGGAATGTGGATGTACTCACTGTGAATTCTGTGGCCACCATGATGGATAAGATTCAAGCTCGCTTCTCAAAAGAGAGGACACGAATCAAAAAGGGGTCTGCCTTGCAAAAGAACGGCAATGAACACCTAAAGACGAAGACTGAATGTTAAATTCATTTGTTCTTAAGAAAAGAAAGAATCCCAAGCAAAAGTTAGAGTCCGCCCGACACTGATATCAAACCAAATATTCTCGATTTCAAAATGATCTTGGTCGTTAACATAGGAATAAGAGAGACCGCTCCCCTGAGAGCCCTTTGGGGCCTTAACGTTTTCCAGCACGTCCTTTTCACATTAGTTCTTTTTCTCTTGACGTAACTTCGCAATCATGGTCTGTTTTGCTAAATGTCCCACCCTTATTTTATCAACCAGGGGGCTCCTGAAGATCACGGGAGGGAGGTCAACTTGAGAACCCTCTGGGCCCAGACTCTGCAGGATAACCAGGTGGCAAGGACATGGGGACAAGGGCTGGGTCCCTCTCCCAGAGGGGTTCAGAGCCCTAGCACCTGCCTACGTGCTCTACTTACAAACCCAGGATAAAGAAATGGGCCCTATTTTCTCTGTCTCCTGACTCCGGCAGGAAAATGAGGTCCCAGGGTTTGTTTAGCAAAGAAAATGTAGTCAGTTCCCTAACACAAAGGGCCTCCAAGCTGACTTAAATAAATCTTGGCTGTTGTTCACATGTGCTTTGAAGGTCTGTAAACCCACCCCGATATGACTCAGGGAACAGCAGCTTGCCTGTCTTCAAGGAAGGGTCTCTCTACCTGAGCCAGGCATTTCTTTGTACGCCTTAAGTGAGTATATTCCAAAGAACCATGTCCAGCGTCACACCCTAAGTTTCTAGAAGAAAATAATTCCCCTTCATAGATCCAACCCTATCCTGTTGGTTTCCTTTCCATAACACGACATCGTGATTCAGCCTCCTTTTCTGAAAGTATAGTGGTTTTCAGTACCTGATGTGTGATGCAACCACTTTGGAAAATCGTTTGTCAGGTTCTTAAAAAGTTAAACAAATGCTTACCATGTGATCTAACCATCAAGTAACCGTGTACTTACCTAAGAAAAATGCAAGCATGTGGCCACAAAAGACTGATATACACACTAGCAGCTTTATTTATAAGAGCCGTTACTGGAAACAACCCAAATGTCCGTCAAGTCTCGGGAAGGGATAAGCGAACATTGGCATGGCCACACAATGGAATCAGAATGAACAACGGATACACACAGCAACACGGATGGCTCTCAAAATAATGAGGCTAAGTAAAGAAACCAGACCAAGGCAGCACATACTTTGTGATTCACTACATGAAATTCTAGAAAATGCAAAGTAATCTATCGTGAGAGAACTCAGACCAGTGATTTCCTGGTAAGAGAGAGAAGAGGCAAGGGAGAGCGTGGGGGTGGGAGGTGCAAAGGCGCACAAGGAAGCCTTTCGGGGTGATGGAGATGTTCGCTGTGCTCATCATGGGAAGGTTTCGTGGGCATATACATAAGTCAGGACTTACATTCTGTACTTGGAATATGTGCCGTTTCTTTGTAGTTGGACCCCAAAACAGTGGTTCAACTGAAGAAAGGAAAAACAGTGAAATCCTCGTGAAAACTTTCTGGTTTTCTTCCCTCCCCAGAGTCCTCTCCTGCCTTTAGCAAGCGAGAAGGAAGGTGGCCCGAACTGGTTCCTTGCAACATTCTTGCCAGCAGCATATGCCTTGGAGTGCGTTGTGCTATTTATTGGAATTGAGGGCTCAAGATGAACAGTGTTTTTATTAAATTTTTTTTAAGATTTTAGGGGCGTTTGGGTGGCTCAGTCGGTTAAGAGTTGACCATCGGTTCAGGTCATGATGGTGGGGTCCTGGGATCGAGCCTGCATCAGGCTCCCTGCATAGTGGGAAGCCTGCTTCTCCCTCTCCCACTTCCCCTGATCGTGTTCTCTCTCTCTTTGTCTGTCGGTCAAATAAATAAATAAATAAAATCTTTAGAAAAATAAAAATAAAAAACAAAGATTTTATTTATTTATGAAAGTGAGAGCATGAGTAGAGAGGAGGGGCAGAGGGAGAAGCAGGTTCCCTCCTGAGCAGAGAGCCTGATGCGGGGCTCGATCCCAGGACCCCACGATCATGACCTGAACTAAAGGCAGATGCTTAACCCACTGAGCCACCCAGGCGCCCCTGGACTCATGTTTTTAAAGCTTAGATAACTTGTGTGTATACGCACGTGTATTGTCTCCTGAGAGAACCCAAGAACAATGACACAACAGAATAAGGCGTCCTTGCTCAGATCTCAGTTTCTAAATACCTTCTTCCACCAAAAGGAAGCAGACTCTAGAGAAATGTCTAACTCCAGAGCTGGGGCAGGAAAACTGCAAGATGAACCTGGAGCTGATTTATTTATTTATTTATTGCATCAGGAAGCAAGTGTTTGAAGGACCATGAGGGCTTGTCAAAAGGACGTAGGTGCCAAACTTCTGGGCTCCCACTAGCCAAATCGAAGGTGATTTGGGCACCAAATTAAGTAAAGCCATCATTCTAGCTCATTCAACTCTGTGAGGCTCCGGGAGTCCATACTGATGCAAATGAATGACAAAATAAATGAAGAGGAGAGAAAGCTCTTTTTAAGGTGCTAGCTATTAAATATAGAAGGAATCCTGGGATTGGAAACTCGCCAATGGTTGCTGAAATTAGTGGGTGGATGTGTGGCTGGGAGCTGGGGTGTTGGCCGCATCTTAGAAGATAGCCCCCTCCCCCAAATTTTACATTGTCCCGTTGATTTTACCGTCCTCTTTTTGTTTCTGAATCATGCCCTTAAGAAGGAAAATCTCTCTCTCTCTCTCTTTTTTAAATGCCCAGTTAAGTGTGGAAATTCCCAACTCAGCTCATGTAATTCTATTACAGGTTGGGAAACAGGAAGATGGGTTTTTTTGAGACATTAGCCAGAAAACACTTTATATATTTCTAGTACTGGGTTCCTTTCTACCTGCATAAGAAGACTGAATGTTGGGCGCCTGGGTGGCTCAATTGGTTAAGTGACTGCTTTCATCTTAGGTCATGATCCTAGAGTCCCAGGATCAAGTCCTGCATCGGGCTCCCAGCTCCACAGGGAATCTGCTTCTCCCTCTGACTTTCTCCTCGCTCATGTTCTCTCTCACTGTCTCTCTCTCAAATAAATAAATAAAATATTTTTTTAAAAAAAGAAGAAGACTGAATGTTAAGAAATAATATGGAAGAAAATAAACTCCCAAGGGAAAAAAAAGGTCACATAAAGAAGAAAGAATGGCATTGGTTATGATTAGTTATAGCTAGTTAGTGGGAAGTATAAATCATGTGTCCCCATGCTCTCCAGCCTTTAAGGGCCAGCAAAAAAATGTCACCTCCTCAGTGAAGCCCTCTGAGGTTTCTCTGGTGACGAAGACAGAATGGTTGATATTTGCACCCCTCCTGCACAACCTTTTCAGAGGATAGAGCTATCTCTTGTCAAAATTTACAAAGCACAACAGCTCTGACTCAGCCCTTGATCCTGGAAACATGCCCTATTGTTATTCTCACAAAAGAACATAAAGATACACCTTGGGAGATGCGAGAAACAACCTTAATAACCAGCAGTTGGTAATGTTTTGATCTGTCCTTCAATAACACACAAGTAGTCCATAACTAGAATGTACTAGACCTCACACTGATAAAAAGAGGTCACTAAGAGGTAGCAATACAAAAGAGAAGACTATGTTGCAAGATCTTTTTTTAAAAAATATATGTAACAGTTACACACTTCACTGCTTATCAGTACTGAAACATTTTCTGGAAGGAGACTGAACAATCATGACCAGTGGAAAGTGAGACTTTCATTTTTTTTCCCTTCAGGTTTTGTAAACTATTTAAATATTTTACTTTGTGCATGAAATTTTATTTTAGGAACTATTGTAAAAATAACCTGTCACCTTTTTTTTTTTTTTTTTAAAGAAGCCCCAGTGTGCTTCTGTTCCCTACACCATACACCAGTTTGCCAAGCTCGGCCCCAGAAGGCCCTCACGGCCCTCTCCATTTGGCCTGGAAGGTAGCCACGATTAGTAATTAAAAGTAATTAAATTCTCTGGGGTGCCTGGATGGCTCAGTGGGTTAAAGCCTCTGCCTTCGGCTCAGGTCATGATCCCAGAGTCCTGGGATCAAGCCCTACATCAGGCTCTCTGCTCCGCGGAGAGCCTGCTTCCTCCTCTCTGTCTGCGGGCCTCTCTGCCTACTTGCGATCTCTCCCTCTCTCTGTCAAATAAATAAAATCTTAAAAAAAAAAAAAAGTAAATTCTCCATGACTACTTTTTGCAACTTTGAGCTCCTACAGGAGCATTTTGGGAAGGCTTATCTTGCCGCCTCTCAATGTGTTTCGGGCTCATGGAAAATTTAGGGAGAGTCAGAAAGTGTAGAGCCCTAGAGCCACCGTCAAAAGACACTGCCGAGGGCCCTCGAGCTAGAATTCCCCTCTCCCATCAGAATACTCTTGGGAGATTTTACTGCACCAATCGCAAAATCTCCAGGCTCATTTTCATTTTCTTGTCACCCCTGAGCAGGAGGCAAACACCCACATATAACAAAACATACTGAAAGCGGGCCCCTCTCGGGTCTGCTGGGAGGGCCCCAGCTGCTGGCTCAGCGCTGCCCCAGTCTCTCCTCACTGTGCTCAGGATGGCCTCATTATGGGGCTACGACTGCTCAAATCTGAAAGGCCTGGCCGCATCCTGCAGCATAATGGGTGCGGTGAGGGGAAGCACGACAGACCCCCAGCTGTCCCTGGGTCCATCCCTTTCTGCATGTGGGACCTTAGCAAGAAGGGGCATGTCCTCACCGAGACTAGATTTCCTTGGCTTGCAAGGGTTTGTGGCAATGGGCGAGTGCAACACTCTTTGCAGAATGCAGAGGGCTAATGGAGAAGGAGGGAACATTCTTCGCCCCCCAGCTACTCCTTCAATGTGTCTTGACACCCGATACACCGGATGCACCTCTTCCACTTAAACACCGTGTGAGACCTGATCCATGTCCTCAAGAAGCTGACATTCAAGTACAATGGATATGTCATCGCAGCAAATACCAGCAATGCTAAGTGCTACCAGTCGCTTTGGGAATCAGGAGAATGAAGTCATGCCTCCAGCGTGGGGGAAACCCAGGAGGGCTTCTTTGAGGACGTGACATTTTTTGCTGACTCTTGAAGGCTGGAAAGGATCAGGACGTGCAATGAGGGGAGAGAACATTGCTCGAGGGCAGGGAAAGGTATGCACAAAGGCGTGAAAGTCAGAAAACAGATGTGTACAGGAGCTTTGGTGGTAGTAGAAAGAACGAAGAGCTATTAATTTACTAAAAAAAAAAAAATAGGGAAAAAAAAAGTAACTCTGAGAAATGTTAGGCTGGCATCCATTACCATCCGACCGTTATTTTTCGGTTCTCTGCTGTCCTTAAGTAATCGATGTGAAAATCATCCTGGAGAGGCTCCTGGCTGGCTAACTCAGTAGAACACTGGGACGCTTGATCTCCGGGTCATGAGTTCAACCCCCGTGTTGGGTGTAGAGTTTACTTGAGAAAAACATCACTATGGAGCCCCAGTCCCCCTGGTCAACCGTCGTGGGTGAGCTGGATACAGACACTAATGTGAGTCAGGAACCTGGGTGTTGCTCTGATTTTTGTTCACTTTGCTACACTGAGATTGAATCATCGCTTGCATTTTTTGGTAGGCCTGGAAGCAGGGTCTTTGAGCTGTCTACCGGGCCGTCCACAGGCCAAGCCTGGGTAGGGTGCCCACCCCCTGCCCTGTCGTGGGCGCCGCGCTGAGCAACCTATGAGCCCAGAGTCCTGGTGGGGGGTTTCAGAGCAGACAGATATGGAGAAAAGAGGCATCTAGCCCCAGGGGCTTATTCAGCAGGGGGAGGAGGAGACGGGCTCCAGCAGGCTAGCGGCCGCCCCCAACGTCCAGCTCTGGGCTTGGCGACAGCTCACCTGCTGCACTAGCCAGCTACAGAGCCTCGGCTGCTGGGAAACTGGAGAGGGTGCGTGTGTTGGAAAGGACAAAGCCGTAGTCACTGAGGAGTCCTTAAAAATAAAGGAGCTTTTGGGGCGCCTGGGTGGCTCAGTGGGTTAAAGCCTCTGCCTTAAGCTCAGGTCATGGTCTCAGGGTCCTGGGATCGGGTCTCAGGGTCCTGGGATCGAGTCTCAGGGTCCTGGGATCGAGCCCCACATCGGGCTCTCTGCTCGGCAGGGAGCCTGCTACGCGCCCCCGCCTCTGCCTGCCTCTCTGCCTACTTGTGATCTGTCAAATAAATAAATAAAATCTAAAAAAATAAATAAATAAAGGAGCTTTGCTTTTTTCTGATTCTAAAGGAGATTTTGTACATTTCATAACACACAAGCAATAACAACAACAACCCCAGAGCAAATCAAGACGATGACGACAATTAAAACTGCTCCAACAGCCGTCTCTTGGGTTGGCTCTTGGTCACTCCCTGAGATGTATCCTTTTAGACATTTTCTCTGCAACATAACCTCACACACACACACACACACATACACACACATAGACACACACACAGTGGGAAGGGAATCAGGCTGCACAAACCATTATTGACCCAGCTTTCTAGTTAACACTCTTTCTCAGCCCACTTTTGCCAATTAACATGGAGCTGTCATCAGACTTGACAGCTGTGGGGTGTTCGTCTGGCTACACCCTAGTTCACTTAACCAGTCACATCCTGGTGCAAACTTTGCTTGTTTCTAATTTCTCACTGCTACAGAGAATGCCACCCCAGACATCTTTCCATGGGGCAGACTCTCGGACCCAGGGCCTGTCTGGGAGCTTTACTTTCCTAGTCCTGACCCTCTTCTTGTCACCTGTCCCGAATGCTGGCTTCTCCCTCCTGTAAGGTACAAATCACAGAACAGACTGCCTTGAATCTTTACTTCCCATGTGTGGGTGGGAAGGTATCTTATTACTCATCCTTGAAGCCTGGGCAAACCACTACCTGATTCACCTTTGCCTCCCTGGAAGCTTCTAGCAAAGTGTCTGGTGCTCATGAACACTGGACAAATAAGCAAAAGCCATCAAGGCAATGCACAAGGGAGGGCACGGGAGACCTGGGAACGTGCAGAGGAGAAGGGTGATACTCACTGCGGAGGGCAGTGGGCGAGGCTCCAGGAGAAGCTGGCCCCACCAGCTCCGTGTAGAAGAAGAAGGCTAGTCTGCTCTCTGCCTGGGATGAGGACAAGGCTTCTGTGGGTTCTGTGCAGGCAACTTTGCAAAAACACAATAAAGGAAGTCAGCTACCCCCAGCCTGTGTTGTCACGGGTGGGGTGACCCGGGAGGGTGGGGACAGGGAGTCACCAGCTGTAGCTCCAGCAATCAGCAGACCTGATGATTTGCAACCAGAAGTGAAAAACCAAGAACTGCTGGGCTAAGGGAAACCATCTTTTCTGAAGACTTGTCTATGGACGGGAGAGGCTAAGAACACAGTCTTTTCCTAGACAGCACAAATACTTGCAGGGGAAGGGGGAAAAGAGGGGCTGTTGAGGGCAGTCAGCCTCGCCAGCTTGCTGGGCTGGGGCGGGGGACGGGGTCTGGCCAGACCTGCCAGGGACCAGCACCCCTGCACAGCACATCACCGCATCACCCTTTCTGGCCTTGACAGCTTGACCCAAACCCACAGAGCCCTCCCACCGGACACAGACACAGTCGCTACTGGCCACAGGGACCTTTTCAAAATCAAACTAATTGAAATGTAACTAGTTCCTTGGTCGCAGCAGCCCCACTGGAAAAGCTCGATGGCCCCGCGGGCTAGTGGCTTCTGCAGCAGGCAGCCCAGGTCTCTGAAAATTCTACTGAATGACGCTCCTTTAGAAAGTCATGCGTGTGATGCCTGTCTAGGAAGCCAGGGAGCATTGAGGCGGGGGGTCAGAGACCCCTTAAAGTTGGGGTCAGATACTGTAAGCTTTCATTTCCATGTGACCACCCTCCGTCAGATACACGGACACCGACAACGTTTCATCTGATTAACAATGGCAGTTTTGATGACGTTTTTGTAAAAGCCTAAACATACGAAATGGTATGTTCTTAATGAGGCCTACAGATGAAGTTCTCCGGCCCCCAGCTCTGGTAGGCCTTCAATCAGGAAGTGGTGGCCCGCCTCCCAGGTCCCAGGGTCAGGGGCTGTGCCTGGCAATGGAGGGGCGCGTGGGGGGATAATCGTGGAAAAGAAGCTACAGCTGGTAACCTCTGCTAACAGGGGAAAGACCCAAGTCAGTTCCTTGCTGTCATTACAAAGAAGACCTCTCTTTTATCTTTGTTCTGGGGGACTGGTTTCCTCTCTCCAGTACGTTGCTCGTCCCATGGGCTCACCGGAACGGCAGGGTGGCTGTCCCCTGATGCTTGACCCATCAGTCACCGTCTGTTCACGCAGAGCACCATGAGGCATCAGCAGCTCAGCCGACTGTCTCCATGGGAAAGGCCAACGAGCAGCACGTACAAAAGTTACAGACCATGAGCAGTAAGAATGAAAGCGCTGGTTGATTCAGCAGCCTTGAGGGGGCCATGAATTCCCTGCTCTCGGCCCAGAGTCGTTGAGTATTCGTGCTAAAATGGTACCCTAGCCAAGGGCTCTGGCCTTTCATTTCTCCCTCCACATTGGCAATTCTGGACAGAAAAAAAGAAGGAGCAATAGAGAGGAGAGATGCTCCCTGAACTGGTTTTTGGCTGTCCTCGGGCCAGCGGGGAGCCGTGGACCTGCTTCTCCCCTCCACGGCTGGCCCGGAGCCTAGGAACGCTTTCAGGATGCTGAGACACGTGCTATGGGTGCGGGAGCCCCCCAGCCAGGAAGATGCTTGGCTACCACCTCCTCAGGACTCAAGCCATCACCTCACCAGGTAAGGGCATCCCAGGGAGTGGGATGAGGCTGGCAGGAGGAAGGGAAGTCAGGGAGGGGAGTCAGGGAAGAAGAGAAGGATAAATACACTGTCGTGGGGTGATGTCTTCCGCTGTGTGGTCACTCGTGGTCCCGGTGAAGTAGGGACGCTCAGGCGGCACCAAGTTCTAGAACACCCGAGCCCCCTCCCCAGGGATGCGGAAAGGAAGCTCGAGGCTGGGGAGGCAGGGAGACATGAAGAAGGGAGAAATTATTTTCTCCAAGGAGCCAAGAGCAACATGATTCCTTTCGCTGAGGTCCAGTGTGGGTTCATTCCTCACGGGGAGGACCCCCGACTTCTGTCCCCTCGCCATGTGTCTCCGTGTGCAGGTGGAAGTCAGAGTTGGGTGTTTATGAGGTTGTAGGCGTCCTCTGACAGAGAGCATGTCTCTCTTTGTGTTCTCACATGTGACGAAGGAGAGTTCTAGAGGGCAGGGCAGTATGTGTGCGTGTCCCCTGGTGCCAGGGCCGAATGAGGGAGCCCCCGGGGCACGGATCCTGCTGCCCACACGCTCTGCTGCCTGCAGCAGAGGAAGGACCCACATACCTCATTGCGGGGGCCAGTGGGAGAGCCACTTCTGGGTTCCCTCCTGTCGGTGCCCCCCTCCACGTGTCTGACACAGTCTCTAGCAGAGAGGAAATGCGTTTTGCTTGCATCCTCTGCTTCCCAGATTCTCCGTGCTTAAATTGGAGTCATAATCCTGGCTCCTTCCCGAGCCTTCCATCCAGAGTGGGACAGTTGTATTCCAAAAGCCCGGTGGGGTCTTTGGAGGCAGGCTTGCTAGATCGCTCCTTATCATCGACCAAGGAAAGCCTCACTACCTTGGGAAACCCAAAGCATCTCGAAGGGGTTTGGTGGTGAGGGTCTGATCATTGCAGGTGCAAGGAGTCTCAGGGCAAACTTCCAAGGGACAAAGTTGGTGATGACCCCTCTTTGTCCACTCACTCCACGAGGACAGGGACCGTGGGGTCTTGGCCACGGTTGCCGCCCAGCACCCCATTCTAGGAGCTCACAAATCGTCTTTTGACTACATTAATGGAAAAGACACACCTCCCATCAGCGCTGGGGGTCCAGGATAGTGCCATCCAACAACAGAGCTTTCTACAGTGGTGGAAATGTTCTCTATCTGTACGGTTCAGTGGGCAGCCACCAGCCACAGGGGGCGGATGAGGACCTAAACTGTAGTTCGTGGGACAGAGAAACTGATTTATTGTATGGTATTTGTTTTCTTGCAACTAGTTTCAATTCACATGTAAATAACTACAGGTGGCTAGGGGCCACAGAGTGACCCACACAGGTCTATGTTGTAGCTAGTATCTGTACCTTAGAATGGCTCATTCTACTACAAGCCGGGGCAGCCGACCCAGGGCAGAGCCACTCTCCCCTCCCTGACCTCAGAGGGGCTTGAAGAAGGTGGAGGTCCCTCCTACCACAGCAGGCTTCAATCCAGCACAGGTTTGTGTCCCACTGGTTTTCCAGGACACCTGTAGATTCTTTATGTTGCTGATGTTTGGAGACAGAGAGAGAAAGAGAGAGATGGCAGGCAGGAGTAGGGGACCCAGCAGCAGAAGCAAGGAGAGGGATGGGAGAGACACGGGACCCACGGGAGCTGGCAAATGATGGGCTGTTGCAGGAGCGGGGGGAGCAAGATCATTCGGAGGCTCTGGAGACCCGGGGGGCAGCTTTCTTAGAGAGGGCGAGTGAGAGGAAATGTCGGTTTCAGTGGATACGGGATGCATGGGGTGTCCATGTCAGCAGCAGAAGTATAGATGCTCCAGGGCAGGTCATGGGTTCTCGGTGCAGCTGCCAAGCTCTTGCAGGACACAAGCTACGGAGAAGAGAAATAAAGGTCATCCACACCCCCTGAGATTCAGTGTTCATAGCACATGGATCGTGAGACCAGCTGAGGGCTTGGCGATTTTATTTGCCCCATCTATGAGTGATAGATTCTCCCCTCCCACCCTGCCCCTCTCTGTCTCCTTGAAGATCTCACTGCAATCCTTCATCCAACACAGATTGGTCCAGTTCCTACGACCTGCCAGCTCTGATCGCAGAGGTAGGTGGAGCAGGAAATAAGACAGACAATATTACATAAAATTGCAGGGAATTAAAGAAGAGAGAGGTGACGAAGCGACTAAGAGACCTCTTGACACTGGGTGGTTAGGAAGAGCTCACTAAGGAGGTGACTTTTTTTTTTTAAAAGATTTTATTTGAGGGGCGCCTGGGTGGCTCAGTGGGTTAAAGCCTCTGCATTCGGCTCAGGTCATGATCCCAGGGTCCTGGGATCGAGCCCCGCATCGGGCTCTCTGCTCAGCAGGGAGCCTCCTTCCCTTCCTCTCTCTCTGCCTGCCTCTCTGCCTACTTGTGATCTCTGTCTGTCAAATAAATAAAATCTTTAAAAAAAAAAAAAGATTTTATTTGAATTTCCCTGATGGCTAGTGACGTTGCACATTTTTACATGTGTCTGTTAGCCATTCATATGTGTTCTTTGGAGAAGTGTCTGTCCATGTCTTCTGCCCACTTTTTTTTTTTAAGATTTTTTATTTTATTTATTTGACAGAGAGAGAGAGATCACAAGTAGGCAGAGAGGCAGGCGGGGCCGTGGGGGGATGCAGGCTTCCTGGTGAGTAGAGAGCCCGATGTGGGGCTCGATCCCAGGACCCTGAGATCATGACCCGAGCCGAAGGCAGAGGCTTTAACCCACTGAGCCACCCAGGTGCCCCTTCTGCCCACTTTTTGACTGGATTATTTCTTTTTGGGTGTTGAGTTTGACAAGTTCTTTATAGATCTTGGATACCAGCCCTTTATCTGTACTGTCATTTGCAAACATCTTCTCCCATTCCGTGAGTTGCCTCTTTTCTTTGTTTTGTTGACTCTTTTCAACATCATGAGCCATCAGGGAGATTCAAATCAAAACCACACTGAGATACCACCTTAAGCCAATTAGAATGGCAAAAATGAACAAGGCAAGAAACGACGTGTGTTGGTGAGGATGCAGAGAAAGGGGAACCCTCTCACACTGTTGATAGGAATGCCAGCTGGTGTAGCGACTCTGGAAAACAATGCGGAGGCTCCTCAAAAAGTTAAAAATAGAGCTACCCTACGACCCAGGAATTGCACTACTGGGTATTTACCCCAAATATACAGATGTCGTGAAAAGAAGGGGCACAAGCACCCCAATGTTCATAGCAGCAATGTCCACAATTGCCAAACTGTGGAAAGAGCCAAGATGCCCTTCAACAGACGAATGGATAAAGAAGATG